AATTAGTGTAAAATGACTTTCACAAAAAACTGATCGAAAAGCTACTTTGAGCAGCTTTTTGAATTTTTACCTTTTGGAGCAATAAGTTGTTACAAAAAGCTAACTAATCAAACATTCATATTGATTGTTTAACCAAGTCAAACATCAAATAGTGATCAAATAAGCCAAAATTGACTGATAAACTAACTATGTTACCAAACATGGCCATTATCAAAAAGAAAAAATATTCTATAATTTTTACTTTCGCTTTTAAATTATATTAAGGGGTATATATTATGATCTCTTGATGAGAGTTGGAATAAGAAATTTTAATTTGAAGTGTAAAACTTGAGAATGGTGATGAAAAATGTGGAGTAGGGTGGAAAAGACAGATCCTCACTATCAAATTGTTGTGCTAATTGGATAAATTATTGTGCTAATTGGATAAATTTTGTGTAGCTACAACTTTGTCTTCACATTAGGGAACTTCATTGAGTGACATTCATCCCCTCTTAATAGCATATATTGTATTAGTGTGACATGATGATCATGTTACATCTTGTCTTCAAGAAATAGCTATAAATTGATAGATTTTGATGATTATAAGATTTTTATTAAGAACTTAGATTCTCCAAATTAATTTCAACTTTTAAAAAAAAAAATTAGTAAATTTGTAAAGACAACAAATTTAAGTAAAACTAAATGCAAATATGCTAAGTCTACAACTAGAAGCGTTTATCAATGGTTGAGGATTTTAGTAAAAAAAAAAAACAAACACAAGATTAATTTTATAATTATTGAAAACGTTTAAGAGCTTGATTTATTTTATAATTATTGTAAACTTGAAAGTTTAATTAGCAACGGTAAGATCCTAGCCTTTGATTTCTCAAGATAGAAAGTGTGGATGTGTCCATAATTTTTACAGGGGGGGGAAGTGTTCTCACCTAGACCCTCCTATATATATGTGTGTGTAGCAAATTGCACTTTTAGTTATATTCTTTTAATTTTACCTTATTACATTATTAACTTTTTTTATTGTCACAATTTGTTCTCTATTTTAATAAATAATGATGACAATCATAACATACTACATGTTCAAATCCCATTAAAAGTATGTTATGCAACTACGCGAAGGAAGCATAATGTTAAATGTTTAACCATTACATTATCAAAATTTAAAATTTATTACATTAACACTATATAGATTTCTTATTCTTTTTTTTTTTTTTTTTTTTTGGCAAAAAGGGGATCATCAAACTTGATTGATTGAAAAGGATAGGGATTGGATGAATGATATTAATTCTAAAGCCCACTAGGACAATATTGAAAATTGATGCTCAAAAGGCAAATCAATTAATGTTGGCACCAAAAGTCTAAAATCAACAGGAATCCTGAAAGCTAACAGGTCACCTCGGTATATTTATTACACAAGGGCATAGGTATATAGAGAGAAAATTTTCCAATGTTGATTCATATCTATAAATTGTTTTTTTTTTTTAAACATATCTATAAATTATTAAAATGGATAGGTGCGTCTTGCAATTTTGTGCAGTACGTTTTTAGCTTTAGCAAAGTTTGAGATACTTGTCAAAATATTATCGCTTTTTATATATATATATATATATATATATATATATATATATATATATATATATATATAAAGGTGGATTCAAATGAGAATAATATTTTCCTGTAAAAAGTGAAGATTGATTTTAATTGTCATTGAAGGTTAATTAATATAATGGTTGAATGTTTAAGTATAAAACAAAACACGAGATTAATTTTATATTTATTGAAAAAATTTTAAAAAATTGTAATAACTATAAAATTGACCATGTGCCAAGCACCTTATGTTCAAATAGTATTTAGTGACTCTCTTATATGGGAGATCCAGAGATTGAGCCTTAGTGGATGCGGTGTTGGCTCTTTGTGCTTCAACAGATTGAGAAAGTATAAATGAACAAATATTATAATAGAGTCAATAGTTAAAAAAAAAAAAAAAAAAAAAAAAAAAAAAAAAAACGACCCTATTTATTTTCTCTTTATTTTAAACAATTTTCACATGTACTCAGATGAATATAATCCTATATATTTGTGTCTGTGTGTGTTTGAATTTTCCAATGTTATATTATAAGTGATGAATGTTTGAATCATGCACAATTACTACCTATCTACCTTAGCTTAGCTTAACTTAGCTAGCTAGCAACTCTAGACTTTGAGTTCAGTAAAATTTAAAAAATAAAAGATAAAAAAGTAAATAAAGATAAAAGCACAGTGTAAAGAAGAATAATCACGTTTTGCACATACTTTTATGCTTTGACTATTACAGCTGCACCATCAAATCAACAGTATTCATCCCTCCATTCCCTCACCCTCAGCTCTGTGATCTCTGAAATTCACTTTTTATTTTGTTTTCTTTCATTCACTTTTTAACCATATTTTGCTTAATCTTTTATATGCTCTTTTTTTTTTCCTGCAAAGTAAAAATTCATGTGTATTAAGCATGAAGAAACGAAAAACTGAATAAAAGGAACTAGGTATTACCTAATTAACATTCAAGATAACTACGTCAAAAGATGAAAGCGTAACTTTATTTTTATATATTTATATAATAATACCCAGCGTCATGTTTCGAATGTAGGATACTGGACTCAACCCTCCAAGTTTCTGCCAAACATTAACCATTTATCATACCAACATAACACGATAGATGTTTAGATAGCGCAACTAGACATGAAAAATATTATTTGTAGTCTTGTTTATATGATTTTGATTGATTCATCGGAAGTTTAAAAAAAAAAAAAAAAACTAGAATTATTAGTAGGAAACGAGAGATTTTATGTTAAATTACATAAACTTATTTTTAATTTTTCATTCTTTTATTGCTCTTTTAATGAAGAAAGTAAAAGAAGGTGAAAATGTGATAACTCTCAATGAAAACAATTATTAGTGTCTTCTGTGTTAGTACGTAGGCGCTCAACAATTAATTTGTACTTATCATATTTTCATATTATCTTTCTCACTTAATGTGTAATTTAATGATTCAAAATTGACTTGAAGTGTCATTAAATAATTGGAACGATAAAAGATGAGTTAGTATCTCATAATATACCTAAGGGAAAATGGCACTTTTTCCCCCTATGTTATATGCTTATAGCACTTTTTTCTCCTGAGTTATTCATGCATCCACATTTGCCCCCTCAATTATTATAAAAGTGGCGGTTTTTCCCCCTAATAATATTAAATAGACATTTTTACCCTTAAAATACATATTTTATTTATTTCTCTTGTTCAACAAATTATTGTTTATACGTAGGGATGGCCACGGTTCGGTTCGAACTGAACCGAACACTATAGCAATCAAATAAAAAAAAATTCGGTTATGATTCATAACATAACCCAATATTTGGGTTTCCGTTTATTAAAATTGTGAAGTGGAAAAAAATAGATTCTGAACCGTGAACCAGAGGTTCAAATCGGAACAACTACTAGCAATAGCTTAAAATTAGAATTATAATATTTGCAAATAGTGTATGTTTTTTTCGCATTTATATTGACTCTCACATATAAGTATATATAATCGCGATTTGGTTTTTATTTTGAATCATTGTTTCACAATTTCGGATCCAATTTGAACTGTTGGTTCAAACATTATTTTAAATTTTTTTTTTTATTTTTAAAGTATTCTAAATTCAACAATTAATGTATTTTATTTTTTCAAATTGTGGTTATAATTTGTTGGAGAAGTAAAATAAATGAAATATTTATTTTAAGGGTAAATATGTCCATTTAATATATCAGGGGGGGAAATTGCCACTTAAATAATATAGGGGGAAAAAGTGCTATAAGTATATAACACAGGGGAAAAAAGTGCCATTTTCCCTATACCTAACTTTGATGAGTGAATTAGTCAATCAATGAATAAATAATGATTTAATGCAATATCAAATTTTGAAAGGTATAAAATCTAATGTGGTGAAGTAGACCGTAGCGGGGTCACCCCTCCCTTTTATTTAAAAAAAAAAAAATTAATGTGGTATCTATAAGGGTATATTTGGTCTAAGTATAGTACGAGTTTAAAGTGCCTTCTATAGTTAGAAGTTGCTCAAGACACCTCATGCTTGACTAAAAAAAAAAATTGATTGACACAATAAATTTATAATAAAGTAGTAATTTTGGTAATAGACCTATATATAAGAGGTTATGATATATATATATATATATATATATATATATATATATATATATATGTGTGTGTGTGTGTGTGTGTGTGTCTTTTCAATTTTTATTTTATTTTTATTTCTTAAAACAATCAAACACAAAATCAATTGAACTCAACCAACAACATCATTGAGGTTCATTGAAGGTATTAATTTCATATTTTGTGTTTGATTATTTAAAAAAAAAAAAAAAAAAAAAAACAGTCGAACACAAAATATGAAATTTATACTTTCAATGAACCTCAATGAGACTGTTGGTTGACTTTAACTGATACCTAAATTTTATTTTGAATATTCAAAAATTTTGGGTGATACTTTGAAACCTAATATCCAAACCATATAATAATTCGGATAATAATCTTTTTATCAATTTTATTTTTTACATATTAATATTTTTTGTATACCATCAAACTCAATATAGTACTAAACACTAACATATTAAGTAGGAGAGTTTTAAAAATTAATATAATATTATGATGCAATTTTTAATAATTAATATATAATTTACTATCCTAATTATAATATTTTTAAATTTTAACACCTAATATCTAAATCAAATTCTAATTCAAATATCACAATTTAAAATATTTGAACTGATGACTATTTTTTTTTTTTTTGAAGGTCAATCATGCGATTATATTAATGAATCAAAGCCGAAATAGCGTCAGGTGGGATAGAATCCCAGTACATAGCTTGATCCTGTGTAAATGCTAACGAAGCTAAAGTATGCGCGTGTAAATTAACCTGTCTAGAGACATAATTTAAAGTAATACGATCAAATAAAGACATAAGAGTTCTGCATTAGTCAACCGTGACCCCAACGTATGAACGAATCGGCGTGTGATGGTGCCGGATAATTGTAGTCAACTCCATGCAATCCGTGAGTAAACTTACTGATGTGTTGTTCCGTTCAAGTAGCCAATACAGTGCTTCCTTGTACGCCTGCGCCTCCGCCATAAGTGGTGAGAAGCAAACCGGTAACTTGCCATTTTTTGCTGCCACAAAAGAGCCATCTGGCGCTACTAGTAATATGCCGTACGTAGCCTCGCCCGTGCCGTGACGGAAGCCCGCATCCACGTAACACCGCAGGGCGCCACCTCCCGGTTCGGTTGATGTCACCGACGCCGCATCCGGTTGGGTGCGGTAATCCTGGGCAGCACCGTATGCCTGAAGTGCTGCGGCTGCTGCCCTGCCAACTTGGGTAGGCCGCGTCATAGATCCCTTCCAAACAGCTGAGTTTCGGGTGCTCCAAATATAGTATAACACCGCTACCATCAATCGGGTTTGCTCCTCCGTCAAGACCGCCAAAACCCTTTTTAGCCATGATGTAAAAGAGTCTGCAATAATATTAGTGATAGGCAATTGTGTTACATTCCAAACAAGTGTAGAATATTCACAGAGCACTAAAACATGTAACACATCTTCATGATCTAAACCACACATTGGGCATATTGGGTCCACCTCCACCCTTTTAATAATCAAGTTAGTGGTTGTTGTCAAAATATCACATATGGCTCTCCACAAGAAAGTCTTCCACTTGGGGGGACTTTTAATTTCCACATTGAAATCCACTTATCAAACATCACGGGGTTATTCTCATAGTCGCCCACAGTACGCCTATAGGCATTTTTCACAGTATATGTCCCCTTTGGGTCACCCATCCAATACCATGAGTCCTCGTAATCAGGACTAATAGGGATCATATTTATTCGTTCCACATCCTCAGGAATAAACAGGTCAGATAAAATATGTGGATCCCATGTATGTGTATGCAAATCAATCAATCCTGCAACACGTGCCTCTCTCAACTGCCCTGGCATTTCTGTTTGGATCAATGGGCTAGGATTATCTCGCAACCACGGATGTCCCCATATTAAAGTTGTCTGTCCATTCCCTATTCTCCTTCGCACCCCCGAGACCACCATTGCATGTGCTGCCATTATACTTCTCCAACAATAACTTGGGCAATTACCAATAGTAGCATCAGTAAAACTGGCTGTGGGGTAATACCTTGCTTTATAAATTTTTGCTGCGAGTGTTCCTGGGTCTGTTAGAAACCGTCATGCCTGTTTTCCCAGCATAGCAAGATTAAAAGCCCTAAGCTCTTTAAAACCCATATCACCATACTTTTTCGGTACGCACAACCTGTCCCAAGCCTTCCAATGTATTCCCCTTTCTCTTCCATTCCCCCACCAGTACTTATTCATAGTTCGCTCAATTGACTGACAAACTGTCTCAGGTAATAAAAAAACACTCATTGAGAAGGTAGGCATAGATTGCGCTACACTTTTCAATAATACTTCCTTACCAGCCTGAGAAAGCAACTTTTTACTCCACGAACCAATCCACTGTCTGATCTTCTCCTCCACATAACAGAAAATAGCTCTCTTATTCCTTCCCACAAAGGAAGGCAGGCCCAAATATTTCCCAAAATTGGGTGCTTGCACCACCCCAAGATAATCCGCTACCTGCGCCCTGTCACCCTCCTGGGTATTCCTGCTAAAGCATATATTAGATTTATTATAATTCACCACCTGGCCTGACAATTTCTCATACCTTGCCAGGCATTGCCTTATAACTCCAGCCTCCTGGATATTCGCTTTAAAAAATAGGAGACTATCATCCGCAAAAAATAGATGTGATACAGGTGGTGCCCCCTAGCTACTCTGCACCCATGTATAGAGCCTGCTAATTGCTCATACTGCAATATCGTCGAGAGAGCCTCTGCACAAATAATAAATAAATACGGAGAGAGAGGATCCCCTGCCTGAGACCCCTGGTTGGTTTCACGCTCCCTCCTGCCATACCATTGACCATTATAGTATAATTAACAGTCGTTACACACAGCATAATAATAAGTTTTATCCACTTCTCAGTAAATCCCATAACGGTCAGCATCCTTTCCAGAAAAGTCCACTCCATTCTGTCATAGGCCTTTGACATATCCAGTTTCAATGCACTCCAACCCACTACACCACATTGTTTTCTATTTAGATAATGCCCCACCTCAGCCGCCACCAAGATGTTATCAGTGATAAGCCTTCCCGGAATAAAAGCACTCTGGGATTCTGAGATCAGTCCTCCCATGAGCGTTTTCATCCTATTTGCTATCATCTAAAATTTAAAATTCAATTTGAATTTTGTATGTTAGTTCAAAGAATCCAAATAATGGTCACCCATAAGCAAATTTAAGAATGAAATATGAATCTTATTTATTTCCTACGCAATATATTTCTTTGATTTATAAGAAAGCTCGCAGCTGTTACTCAAAAAAGTGATCTTTGAGTAAAGTCCACCTTGTGACCCTAAGCAATAGCGCGCAGACCAACACGGACTAAGAAAGAGAAATCTAGTTCTTATAAAATAAAATTCTTATTTTATCAAATTTCATTTCACAAATAAAATATGTTGTAAATTTCTAATCATTGTTCCCCTAAAATGGAAGCTAGACAATATTTAATTGCATCAATATTTTGAATTAATGTATCATTTCCTTAAATTAACTAAATTAATAAGTTAATTTTTTTTTCCCTTGAGGTGTGGGGGTTTTATGTATATATGATCGGAGAGGGATGTTTTGGTTTCATTATAGAAGGATGTGAGCAGTACTAGCCATGCACAGTGCAAAGACAGGGGATGTTTCAAAAACCCAGACAATTATTCAGTTTTCACATGTATCATTCTTGTTTTTTTCCTTGGATTAATCCTCAGGATTTTCAGAAAAGAAAAAAAAAATCTCTTTTTTTTCTTGAATTTTTTTTTTTTTGGGGCGGAATTACTATCTCCATTGAGGTCCAATCGCTGATGAGCTTCGTATGGTCGTTGTTTGTGGAAGATTTATTAGAGACAAATTTAGAGCATGGAGATATTCTTTTTTCAGTTTTGTTTATATATATAATATATACATTTTATAATCATTACTACTAAATCATGTGCCTTCAATAATTTGTCAATGATTCCTTGTACAATTATTATCAAATAATGTTATTTTTCCATCTTAAATTTACTTGTTTTCATTTACTGTCCATAAATTAACTGGCTCATTACGTGTTTAAAAATGAATTTAATTTATAATCAAATAATAAAAAGTCCAATCAGATAATGTCACATTAATAAGTGAATATTATGAAGATGTGTATCATTACAAACACTTTTGCCCCCATTCAACTAGTGTAACGGCTTTCCACTTCTAGTTATTAGTTTTTTACATACCTTTCAGCTAACTTTTCCATTACGCGTACCAAATAGACCAATGTCGTCTACAATCTGTTTACAATAGTACTCTAGTAATATTTGTAATCTTTTCACTTTTAGTCTCTTAATTATATTTTTTTTTTCATTTTTAATCATGGACTAAAAATTGATCATATTTATAGCTAAACTTTTGAAAACTTTTAACACTAGTATAGTATGAGTACTAAAAGTAATAAATTTTCAAAAGTCAGTTATTGGGAGTGTTTGGTAAATGACTGCTAGCTGATAGCTGTTACTTGATTGGGTTAGTGGGTTTGACTAGTTGATAACATTAGCTAATTGTAGAAAAGTGTTTGGTAAATTAGCTGTTAACTGTTAACAGATTACATACAAAGTGACTTTCTCAAAAAACTTATCGAAAAAGCTATTTTAAACAACTTTTTTAATTTTAGCATTTTAAAGCAATAAGTTGTTATAAAAAGCTAATTAATAAAATATTTATATTGATTGTTTAACTAAGTCAAACAGTTAATAATGGTCAAATATATAATTCAAAATTGACTGATAAGTTAACTATTTTATCAAACATGGCGATCATATTTGATCGGTTTTGAAGTAAAGTAGAAAGAGTGAAAAAAAAATGTAATATTCAAAATTAACTCAATTTACATTCATCTCCTCCAACTTAACCCATAGTATATAACTCTTAACTTCTACATACATATATACAATCATATTTTTATATGGACTAATTAACTTTGAAAAGGAAGAGGTACTGTATATATTTGTGGTTGCTTTTCAGGACCACAAGATGTGAATATCCCAGAACAGAAAGATTACAATTATACACATGATGATACGAGGATTAATATAATTAACGTAAGTAGGATGGTGTGTAAAGGGTGGAGAAGTGTAAGACAAGTTGTGAAAGGGAAAGGTGATAGAGATAAGATAGGTATAGTCTAGAGAGAGAGAGAGAGAGAGAGAGAGAGAGAGTAGGGTCGTAGGAGGGAGGAATAAAAAGGAAAGAACACAAAATCTCTGCATTTTCATCCCTTTTGACGAACGAATATATTGAGGCTGAAAGGAAAGGAAAGGAAAGACTACATACATACTACACCACCATGGTACCTTATTATATCCAACCTCATCAGATCATATCAGTTCAGTTCCACCAAAGGAACAAGAATGTTAATGTAGTGAAACAGTACAATAATGTTATGTCTCTCATCACCTACATATATATCTATCTCATCAATACTAAGGTATATATATATCCACCACAACCCTAGCCTCATTGTACCACTTTGACTTTCCACATCTTATATTAAATGAATCCTCCCTATATATTTTTTTAATAGGTTTAAACTAACCCGCAGTCGAACATCCCACTCCAGGCACATGGGTTCGAACACTGGACCACGACTCGAGTTAGTTGGTCCCATTTCAGAGAAATCTCTACCAAAGGTGTCACTTTAATCACTACTGGAAATTATGGAATTACCGACCACCTGAAAGTGATCTTAAATCAAGTTGAAAGCAAAAAGTGGTCGAAAATAGCAACAGGTTTTTCCATATACCAAAAGTGGTCGGAACAAGACTTTAGACTTGATTTAGTATCACTTTTAATTTAGGTGGTCAAAAATTCCATAATTTCCAGCAGTGAATTTGCATACACAAATAAATTCAGACCCTAACTTTGACACAGTCTAGTCCTGTTCGGGAGAATATTATTACTTACAGAGATTCAAACTCATAACCTTATTTTGGGGGACTTAAGTTCAAAGCCATAGAATATATAATATACTATAATGCTAAAGCATGATGAGTAATATAATGGTAGTTAATTAAGACTTAAAGAGTGGTAAAAGAAAGCAAGCAAATGGTAAAAATAAAGAAAGAGTGTAGGGAGTGCATGCGCATTATGAACGTACAATACGTTGACACTGGGAACAATGTTGTACCCATTAGAAGTTGACATATGAGTGTGACAGAGAGAGAGAGGGGGGTGGGGGTGGGGAGTAGGGCAGGAGGGGGAGTGGGGGTGTCTAACTCTAACCCTAGATGGCCCATTCCTCGAGAAGAGAGGGAGGGTGTAATTAATGCAAGGGGGCAGAGAAGGGTACAGGACTTTTTTGGCAGAGCAGAAAAGATGGATAGATGTGAGAGGAAATGAGAGTAAATCATTTTGTAATCGATTGCTTTATGATTGAAGAGCATGAGAGAGAAAACTTGGAAGAAAGAGAGAAAGAGAGAAAGAGAGAATGTGAGTGTGACCTTTCTCTCTCTCTCTCTCTCAATTTCTATATAATAATAATAAAAATAATAAAGGGGTTTTCTAAAGCTTTTCTTCTCTTTACTTTTCTCCAGAGGACAAAAGGTAGGGGGTGGGGGGTTGGGGTGGGTGGGTGCTATCACAAGGCTATGATGGCACTATGATGAGAGAATAGAATTGTGGTTTCTTTGCAGTTGTATTTATTCACAATCCTCTGCCCTAGGTCCCCACCCTTGATTGTCACTCTCCCATCAATTTCTTTTTTTCTTTTTTTTTTTAAATACAATTACAAAAAAAGATTTAAATACACACACACACACACACATATATATATATATATATATATATATATATATATATCAAATTATATCGTGCACCGCGGTGCATAATTTATTATGCACCGAGTTTCAAAATGACGTCTTTATTTAATAAAATAAAAATAAACGACACCCGTTTCGTGTCGTTTCGCAAAAAGTAACTATGTTATTCAGTTTCATTTTGTATACATTGCAGTTTCAGTTCAACACAACTACAGTTTCATTTCGATATAACTACAGTTTCATTTGATATTTATACACTCAAATATGTGAAAATGTTATTTTATTTTATTTAATATACAATATAGTTTCACTAAAACACAACTACATGCTCATTTCGATATAACTACAACTTCATTGCACAATATACACTCAAATATGTGAAATGTTATTCGGTTTCATTTTATATATACTACAGTTTCATTTCACTACAACTACAGTATCATTTTGATATAACTGCAGTTTCATTTGATAATATATAAAATAATACGTGAGGCAGTGTCAGGTTAGATACACTGTAGTGTCAATTTAGATACACTGTAGTTTGAGTTGGTAATTAACACACCAAAAAATACGCACTTCGTTAACAGTAACGACGCGTTGTTTCTTTACTTAAAGAAACGACGCTGTTTTTACCGCAGTGCACGTGCACCGCGGTCCATATTATAATTGCATATATATATATATATATATATATATATATATATATATATATATATATATATATATATATATATATATATAAAGGGGCGCATTCAAGTGAAAACGGAAGCTCAGGAGAGAAATGAGAACCAATCACAGTCATCTATTTGTCCAAATCTAACAGATCATATGTAATTTTAAAAAAAAATGCAATGGTATTTTTATAAATAACTCAAACTTTTGTGTAAGTAACATGTGTTAAAAGTACAAGTAATTGGTGCAAGTGTGCAAACTAAGTAAAATGTGCAACTAAAATAACTTAAAAGTGTTTTCCAAATTTTTTTTAAAAAAATCACTTAAAACTGTAACCATTTTCACTTAATAGTGCAAGCAATTTACATTTCCTATTGGTGCACCTAATGATAACGTTATTTGCACTAAATATTGTTGCTCGGTGCATATTATATTATATATTGCATTTGTAATAATACATTTTACTTGCACTTAGGTGCACTCTATGAAACTGTTACTTGCACTTTTAACATAATTTACTTACATTTGAAATTCCGAATGTGAAAGGCGTTATCATTAGGTGCACGAATGTGAAAAAGATAAATTACTTTCACTATTAAGTGAAAATGGTTGCATTTTTAAGTGATTTTATTTACACTTTTAACACATATTACTTGCACCAAAATTTGAGTTATTTACAAAAATATTACTACATTTTTTAAAAAAAATTTATATCTGATCTGTTAGATTGAACAAGTCACTACAAGAAAAATGCACATAGACAACACTAGAAAGACAACAGTTTTTAAGAAAAGTGTTGTCTTTTGTATCAAAGACAACAGTTTGGTCCAAAACCGTTGTCTTTTATGCAACACTTTTGTCAAAGACAACAGTTTTTACTTAACCGTTGTTATAAGTGTGTTGTCTTTGTGCATTTTGTGATAAGACAACACCACAACGACAACGGTTTTTTAAAACCGTTGTCTATGTGCGTTTTTTTTTTAAAAGACAACGGTTTTTTTAACCGTTGTCGTTGGTGTGTTGTCTTTAAGCGCACTAGAATACACAACACTAGAAAGACAACGGTTGTTTAAAACCGTTGTCTTTGTGCGCTCTTTTTTTATAAAAAGACAACGGTTTTATTTAACCGTTGTCGTTGATGTGTTGTCTTTAAGCGCACTAGAATACACAACACTACAAAGACAACGGTTTTTTAAAACCGTTGTCTTTGTGCATTATTATTTTATAAAAGACAACGGTTTTATTTAACCGTTGTCATTTATGTGTTGTCTTTAATAGCACTTGAATACACAACACTACAACGACAACAGTTTTATATAACCGTTGTCATTGCGCGTTCTTTATTTGTTTAAGACAACGGTTTTATTTAACCGTTGTCTTTGGTATGTTGTCTTTAAGCGTATTTGAATACACAACACTACAAAGACAACGTTTTTTTAACAACCGTTGTCTTTGCGCATCATCATTATTCTATAAAAGACAACAGTTGTATAAAATATAAACAAGGATTTTAACAACAAGAATCGAACCTCTGACCTCAAATATAGCAATTAAGGTTTAACCAACTTAGCAACACAAACTTTTATGTATCAAAGTGCAACATCTTGTATATAACTGGGTTGTTTTTGTGTTGTCTGTGAAAACCAAGACAACGATTTTATAAAATAGGTTAAAAATACCTCTAAGAAGAATAGAACTTAAGATTTCTAACATAATCTAACATCACAAACTAAGATAAACCCACCAAGCCACACCAACACTTATATACTCAAGCGCAACATCTAAGATATAACGAGTTTGGTTCTGTGTTGTCTGTGAGAACCAAGACAATGATTGTATAAAATATAAGTTAAAGATAAAACCCATGACCTCTAACATAACAAATAAAGCTAAACCCACCAAGCCACACCAACTCTTGTTTACTAAAGTGTTACACCTTATCTTTTATCTATAATTTGGACCTTCATTGTTTTTGTTACGAGATGAAAATAGATGTTTAGAAGATCTAGAACAAAAAATAAAATGTAAATAATTTTTTTTGTCCAAATATAGTGCATAAAATTTTAACAAAGAAATAATACAATTCAAAAGTTAATTTAATAGTTCTATTTTCGTTCATATTTAAATATAAAATTATTCACCAAAGATTTTATAAATCTATAGTATGGAATTTATGAATCTACAGTATAAAAATCTATGAATCTCGCGTTTTGTACCTATATACCCAGTACTATTTTGGGTCTAGTGACCCGGGTAATAAAGCTAATATTTTCTTACCCTGTTCTATATCTATATCGCCCGGTTTATGGTGGACCCGGTCCCTATAAAACCATGAATATACCCGGCCTACAGGCACACTAGTCTAGTGGTCTCTAGTCTCTACAGGCACCCTAGTCTAGTGGTTCGATTCCTATGTATTCACACATCACAGAACTATATGTTCATAATTTGATAACTATACAATTTAGAAATGATGAATCAACAATACAGAAATTATGAATCTACAGTTCATATATTATGAATCTGCATACGTGTAGAAATTATGAATCTACTGTATAGACACTATGAATTTAATGTATTTAAATTATGAATCTACAGTTTAGAAATTATGAATCTACAGTAAAAATTTTATGAATCTACAGTATAGAAATTATGAATCTATGCCTATATAAATTCAGAGTTTGTAGTATATAAATTATGAACTATTTTGGACCTAGCACCCCAGGTAATAAAGCTACTATTTTCTTACTTCCCGTTCTGTACCTATATACGCGGTACATCCCGAGCAATAAAACTACTATTTTTTTTACCTCGCGTTCTGTACCTATATACCCGGTACTATTTTGGGTCTAGCGTCCCCGATAATAACGTTAATATATTCTTACCCCGTTCTATACCTATATACCCGGTTTATGGTGGACCTGATCCCTATAAAATCATTGAATATATATAATATACTTATTTAATTTGGAAAAAATGAAAGCTTATTATAAATTAAAATAAAATTTCGTTATTTTTCTAATTATATTAATGCATAGTATATAATATGTTATTTCCCTCTTTGCAAAATCAAAATAATTCCTTCAATTATATTATTTTCCTTTGCAAATTTTTAGGCGCGAAATTTCCCTCTTTGATAAAGTTTCCCGTCAGAACACTTAGGTCTTCTTTGCAAATTTGCCCTCTAAACACCGCCATCTCCACATACATTGCTCGCCTCTAAACACCGCCATCTCCTCTTGTTCGCCGCCAAGTGCTCTCCGCCGACCGTGCTCTCGCCGCCTCCAACCTCCGACGCCGTCGCCGCCTCCATCCTCTGCCGCCATCGCCGCCTCCATCCTCTGCCGCCATCGCCGCCTCCCTCCTCTGCCGCCGTCGCTCTACTTGAAGATGAAGGGCAATTACCATCGCTATTTGGCTGAGTTTAAGATTGGCAATGAGCGCAAAGAGGCTGTCGAGGACACTATGCTAGCCTATAAAGCTACTCAGGTAAAAAAAACACAAAAACCATATTTATGTTTCTATGCATCTGGATTTAAATTCTCTATATTTTCACTACTTTTCTTGTGTTGTTGAGATCATTACTGGGGTTATTAAATATTATGTTTGCTTCTGTGTCATGACTCTTATATCCATGCCCTTGAATTGATGTTTTCTGGGATTAAAAGGATGATAAGAAATACATTGGTATTCATTTCCGCAAATCAAAATATATGCTTCTATAATGTATTGGTCACTTGGTATTTCTCATGAGTGCTCCATTTTCTCTCCACCAACAGCTACAAGAACAATTTTGAACATTTGGAACTCCTTAAGCTTTTGGCAGATTGTTTTACTTCTAGAAAAGCAGAAAAAATGTTCCCCCAAGTTAGGATCTATGGAGAATAATGAGTTAAAAGATTCATCATTCATGTCAAAGCATTTATTATTTGGCTAATCATCCTTTTTCTGCTTGTTAAAATTATTGGAAGGAATGGATTTCAAATTGTTCAATTATCAGTGGCTCCTTTCTGTCACTTTTTTCTTCTTTTTCTTGTTTTTTTTTTTTTTGGCATTATCTCTGAAATGCTTCCATTTAGTATTTATGCTGCAGTCTTTATTAAAGTGAGGGTCACCTAATTTGTCATGGAAAAGTACTTTGTAGGTTGTGTTTACTTTTGGTAACTTTTGTTTAGGGGATTTATAGAAAACAATTGCAGATTTGGTAGAGTGACAATTCTGAAAGCAGAGAAAGATGTTTCAAGTATCTTCACCATGAAAGGATAGAAATATTGAAGCATTTGTCTAACTTGCAGCAGGCAGGTTAACTAGAGAAATATTTTGATTTCCTTTTTTATGAGAGTTGATGTTCATCTCTGAGAGTGCCTTGTTACTTTGTTCAGTAATGGCTTTAATTGGATATTTGCTTTACAGAACCTAGGATGGTTTACCTCCTTGTAAACAAAATTCATATGTTTTGATTATATTATTATTTATTTTATGGATCTAGTAAAATGTCATTGTTTTCTGCACTATTAATATAACATGGTATCTGTTCTGTGCTTGGATGTAATTATTTAGCTATATGTGTTTATTGTGGAAAATGCTCATTATTTGTGCTCTGAATGTTTTATTAATATCCTCACTACACTTTTGGGCACTTGTAGTTTTGGGGATGCAGTTTGATATCATCTTGCTAGATGGCACTTAATCTATCTCAAGTTTTGATAAGATTTCTGATGTATTTTCTTGCTGATTAAAGTTTGTTGGGACAGAGGAGGCAGTACTTTTAGATTACTTGATTCATGAAATGCGGAAAGTTCTGTCTGCTGAATCACATTCTTTCCCCGTCTCCTTTATCTAATTTCTGATTTTCTATCAGGATTGATCCCTGCAGAGTCATCCCATGAATTGAAGATGGAAGTTAAAAACCTGAGGCACACTCTAAATGAACTCCATATGAAGCACATAACATTGACAGGTGAATTGCAGAGCCATAGAGATGCTGACGTGAAGAATAAGGCCAGAGAATTTCTTGCTGTCTAATAAAGCTGAAAATGCTGCCTTGAAGGCAACTGATTTTGGCCTCTCTGTGTTCATATTTTCTTTTCAATTTGTGACTGGTACTTCCATAGCTTATTTCAATCTCATCTTTTTTAGTTCTTGTCACACTTCTTCAGTTTACAACTGCTGGCCGCTGGATAATCAATCTGGTCACTCTGGGTTGGAAGCTGAAAAGGTACCGCATTTCTATCTTTGCTTTATTTTCATGTATATAAACTGTTTGATATATTGTGCCACTAGAGCAAAAAAAGAATATTTGGGTGATAATGTTCTGCAGTTTTCATAAGGTTGTACTGATTTTCCCTATTTAATTTTCCGCCTCTCCCTCTTTAATTTTCCCTTCATATGGACATTTAACCATTCAACTTGCGCATTTTAGAAACATGTCTTTGAAATTGAGAGAATTATCGGTGGTTGAAATCTTTTCAATTTTGAGCACACCTTACCAGATTCCCATTTCAATTTTGTCATATTCTGGATGGAATCTTCTGTCTTGTTTCTCTTCATCTTCCTTGTTCTTAAGTTTGTATAGTAATCATAATTAGGATGAATTATCTGTGGATTAATTATTTAATTAGGTGGCATTATCTTATCTCTAATACCACTGTCCTTGTCTTCAGTTCTAACTACTCTTCTTCTTCTTCATAGCCACAGCTTTTAAAAGCTCACCAAAAAGGAAGGGGAAAAAAGACTGTACTGATACCCAGTTAAAGCTCAAACAGGTAATTTTCTCCTCTTTCCTCTTCCCCCTCCCATGGGATTTATGGGTATGTGAAAAATCTTCAGTTCTAAATCTCGATCATGAATACCAAGTCATTTTCATAAGGCTGTACTGATTTTATTTGTGGGCTCTTCATCATTAGCTTGCAAATGAGAGTTATCTGGATATAGAAAAGCTGCAAGTTGGGTGATAATGTTCTGCAGATAGCTTTTTAGATTCTTGTATTCTTGGTACTATCATACTTTCTTGTTGTTGGTTTTATTGTTGTTAGTTTTATGTGGTGATGGGTGGATTGATTTTTAATTCCTTAGGTACATAAAGGAACATCAAACCAGTTAATTAAATGCAAATTTTCATCAGAATATTCTTTTTTTTTTTTTTTGGATATGAGGGAAACCTCACAACCCTTTTGGTTAAATATAGAATTCAAAAATGTAAGAAAAATTATAAGTTGGTATGAGTGGCATTTGGAATAAAAAAAAAAGTCCAGTATTATACACCCAAAAATCCAAAGCTACAGATTTTTTATTTGACAAATTTGGGTTTAAATTAATTAACTTTGTAATTTAATTGGATGATGGACTGACTTAATAAGAGTATAAAGAGTAAAAATGAATTTAGGTGGAAGTGTGAGGTGTTATTATATGTGAGTTAAGGGATTTTGGACAGAATGTAGTCAATATTTGAATGCTTCTTTGTTGCTTTTTTTGTTGCATAATCATTATTTTGAAAGTTATGATAATATATGTGAATATAAATATATTGGCATCGCGACCACCCGACAATAATTATTTCTTTATTTTAGTTTAGAACAGTTTCATATGGACAAATATTACAGCTCTATACAGTGGTTAAATTTTGTCTCAACTCATAAGTATCTTAATTTGTAAGTTTAGTTTACCAGTTGCTTTGTCTTAATGAGTATTTGGTACAATGATAAGTTAATCCTATAATTGCAGTAGAAGGCTTATGCATTAACTTAAAACTATTTATTCTATTAGCTTCTTTTGAGTGCAGCAAATAGGTAGAGTTTCTCCTTGAAAACTATAAGTTGGATCACTGGATTGTTTTTATATTGTTTTATATGATACCCAACTATAACTCTACTTTTATGCTTTCTGAATTACTCCTAACTTATTTCGCATTTCATTGCAAATTTATTATATCTATACTAATTTATTTACTCACTTTTTACATGTAGTTCCAACAAGTTGATTATGATAAAGCGGTTATTGATCTGGTGCGTTCAGAATGAGCCGATATTCTATCAAGTTATATAGAGTAGGTATGATTTGACGTTGTAATCATTTAGACTTTGTTCGTAGAATTGTTTTTTGTAGTATTATGACTTGGATGATGATTCGATTAGAATTGGTAATGAAAGTATTTTGACTTGTTATTTTGAACCTTGCTTAGCTTCTTCAAAATTATGTAACTATACTTGGCCATGGTGAATGGATAAATTGATTTTTTTATATGATTAAAATTTAAGCAGGTTAAAAATGGGTTGAGACAACGGTTAAAAACCGTTGTCTATTTTACAATAGACAACAGTTTGAAACTGTTGTCTTTTCTACAAAAGACAACAGTTTATGAGCGTGATTTTTAACAACAGCGATTTCAACAACACACAATAGACAACAGTTTATAACTGTTGTCTTTTAAAGAAAAGACAACAGTTAAAAATCGTTGTCTATGTGCATCACTTTTAACAACACCGGTTTCAACAACATTGAATAGACAACGGGTCAAAAACTGTTGTCTTTTCTAGAAAAGACAACGGTTAAAAACCGTTGTCTATGTACGTGACTTTTAACAACACCGATTTCAACAACACTTAATAGACAACGGTTAAAACACCGTTGTCGTTTATAGAAAAGACAACGGTTAAAAACCGTTGTCTATGTGCGTGACTTTTAACAACACCGGTTTCAACAACACTTAATAGACAACGGTTAAAAAACCGTTGTCGTTTCTAGAAAAGACAACGGTTATTAACTGTTGTCTATGTGCGTGACTTTTAACAACACCGGTTTCAACAACACTTAATAGACAACGGTTAAAAAACCGTTGTCGTTTCTAGAAAAGACAACGGTTATTAACCGTTGTCTATGTGCGTGACTTACAACAACACCAGCTTCAACAACACTTAATAGACAACGGTTAAAAAACCGTTGTCGTTTCTAGAAAAGACAACGGTTATTAACCGTTGTCTATGTGCGTGACTTACAACAACACCGGCTTCAACAACACTTAATAGACAACAGTTAAAAAACCGTTGTTGTTTCTAGAAAAGACAACAGTTAAAAAACCGTTGTCTATGCGCGGGACTTACAACAACACCGGCTTCAACAATAGAAATTATACCCCTACGACAACGGTTATTAACCGTTGTCTATGTGCATTTTTCTTGTAGTGAGTGAACGGCTATCATTAGTTCTCATTCTTCTCTGGGCATCTCTTCTCACCTTAAACTAACATTGTTTAACTCAACCCCATTCTTTTATGTATTAACAACGTATGTATAATGTATACATACGTATATATACAGAGTATAGACATAGAGATACATAGGGATCTGAAAAATGCATGGGGGTAGGGGTGGTGGGGGGGGGGGGGGATGTAAATGAGTTTTCACATCTTGGGTTAGGGTGAAGGGGCTGACATTGTCCTTCACGAAAGGCGCTGACCGTATTGTCTGCCCCGCATTTAAAGCGCGCCCATTGCTTCTTTCTGCACTTCGACTTCTATACAATCCCCAACCCCATGCACTGTCACACTGTCATTATCTATTTTCTACCCTTTTTTTATTTTTATATATATTTTTTAATTTTTATGTTTTTATATATAAATAAATCTCTGGGTTTTGTGAAAGTGGACCCGAGCTTTTCAAATTTGGGCATCTGTCACGTCTTTATTTATGTCATAGTGTAGGGGGGAGAGGGGATGTTTGGGAAAGGAAATCAGTAATGCATCGGAGGGAGAGGGACTCAAATTTTTTTTGAAAGAATAATAATTTTTAATTACTGTTTGTTTTTTTTTTTTTTATGATTTATTTCTAATTCCCTTTTGTTCAGTAATTAATAAATTTCAGGTATTTTGTATGGGGTTTTAGTACAGACTGAGAGCTGCTAAGTCTGGAATGTTTCCAACATTCCTTTTGGGTTCAATTTTGTCCATTCATCCAATTGGGTTTTCTCAGTTTCAAGAAGCCCAACTTTGGGTTTCCTTCTGTCACCACTTTTAAGTTTTAAACCCTCACATTTTCTCTCTATTGGCCCAGCAATTTGATTTTTTTTTTTTTTTTTTTTGGTCACGATGGTGATTAGGGTTAGGGTTAGAGGACCTAGTCTACCTATGTACAATGAAAAGATTATTAGATGTTTATTATTATGTGTGTTTTTAATGATGTTATTGACCAAATGGGCATACGTATTTGACATGACTAGAAGGGGAGTGCAAAATGTTTGGCCATCTTTTTCAATGCATTGGGTGGAGCAATAAATGTTACACATCTGATGATGGCTTCACAATTAGGGCTTTGTCAACATCACTTACGTGTCCAAACAGAAAGCACATATTTGGAATTTATGTCACGGGTCACCTATACATGTGTCCACACCTCTTGCCCCGTTTCTCTCGGGAGACGAAGAACATCATTTTTTCCTTTTCTTCTTCATTTTTTTTTTAATATAATATAGTTCATTTCGAACTCATGTTTCAGTCAAACCTTGTACAGACATGTTTTTGAAGTTGTGGGCTTTGAAATCATTGGGCCTGTCTTGGTTTGCACCAGCCCCATATGAGAGTCCGTACAATGTAAAACCGGCAATTTATACTGTACACCACGACGCACATAGCAATGTGTGTCCAGGTACAAAATGCGCGTGTTTCATGCTGATGTCACTCTGTCCATCCGAACCGATCGAATCTCATTATGTGTATTCAGTTAAAATTTTATGTGTATTGTGTTATGAGTTTATGTATATTTAGTTAAGAGTTACCAAGATCATGTGGTCTAATGGTACTCAGCCACTTAGGTTGGACTTTTATTTGGAAGATTGTGAGTTCGAGTCTCAGTGGAGGCGTTATTGGTTCAGTAGGTTGAGAAAGTATATGAACAGATACTACATTGTAATAGACTGAGCGCCCTAAAACCAATTGTTATATACAATGAACCAAAGTCTATTAGATTATGTGCTCTCAATTTATTTATGGTATATGCATAATCTGAATGTCGTTTTGGACCAGGGTACACAATGCAGGTGGGCTCTGGTACATGGTATAATTTGCCATGTAAAAGAAGGAAGAAAAGTCAATTGTTTCATTAAACTTGTTGTGTGATCATTACACTTAATTCTTATTGTTGTAACACATTCATTGATTCATTCTCTACACAGTTGAAACAGTGATGAATTGAATTGCTGCCATGGAAGTTTATGCTTTGGATCCTTCATACTCCAAGCAGCCTGCAAGTGAAAAGAGAGTATAAGTCCAGCCATTCCCAGTAGGCAATAATGTATTATATATGCAACAAACCAGAACGAATACACGTGTCGTTTCACCTCTTTAGAGAAGATTGTGTGCGCCTGATGCCAAAAAAACAAAAGTAACAATGTTGATTCATCTTGTATGGAAGAATACAGAAAAAGACATGTTTTATACCACAAATAACTTACCTCTGAGAGAGCTGAGGTTTGGCCTTTTGCTTTGGCTGCTCTGGAGCTTCATTGCTTCTAAGTGGTATACTCTTAACCTGACAGGAATGTTATGGGTTTATGGGACAATGTTTTGAAGCATAATATTTATGCAAATATGGGAATATATGTATATATATATATATACCAAGTTCCTGTACTGAAGTTGGTAGAAGGCTTGGATATATCTTTGGCTTGCTTGTTTCTGATCAGGGAACAATGTCTTCCAGAAGCCATATATAGACCCCATGTTCAAAACCTTGTTTGCATAGATCTTCCATGTGTAGCTGCAAAGATTTGGGCAAGAGAAAAATCAATAAAATGATTGAAGAAAAGATGATAAATCAAAATCTGATTCATTACCATTCGTTTATACGCTTTAAGCCCTGAGCAGAAATCCTATTCCAGTAGTCAGTGTCATCCCTGCATTTCTGGAAGAAATCTGCAATCTTGTTGCTAGATTCATCTCCATTGTTGGGGTCAATATGGAAGCCTGAAACCCCATCCACAATGATCTCTGCAGGGCCGCCTTGGTTGGTTGCAAAGGTTGGTAATCCACAGTTCATTGCCTCAATGACTGTAAGGCCAAATGCTTCGTACAAAGCAGGCTGTACGAAAGCTCCCTTTGAATCTGCAACAGTGCGGTAGAGTTCGCTGTTTCTTAGTCTGTCAGTCTGGGCTGCTATCCATCTCATTTGGCCCTTGAGTTGGTATTTTTCTATCAACGCGTGCATCTTCTTAATCTCGGCTGCTTCTTCTCTATCTTTGGATTTTGAAGGATCGAAGGAACCTCCAACCACAACCAGATTGACCAAGCTTCTCAGCCTCCTGTTCTTTCCATACCATTCTGTTAATCCACTCGTGTTCTTTACTGTGTCAAGCCTTGCCATGGTGAATATGATTGGTTTCTTTTTGTCTTCCAAATATCCACTGTTGTAAAACCAAATCAAGTTTCTAGCTCAGATCAATGCTGGTTTGCATACACTGAAAAATCCAAACTTAATATTCGACTCACTCACATGTGTTCATCGTTATCTGCTTTACTGAAGAGAAGTTCTTCAATGGCAGGACGAAATGATGTGAATCGCTTCTGTTTCTCCGTGTAAGGGAAATAGACGGTTTGGTCTGCCCCGGGAGAAGCAATGTTGAATTTTGGATCAAACACATTAACGCCAGAAACAACCCTGTAGAGCCCCGGCATGGTAAATGCACAGTGGCTTTCATATTGCCCCGGCCTGTCTTTGCTGTAGATCATGGAAAATTTTCAATAAGATTTACATATCATTCAATAAGATTTATCACGGCTTCCGATAAAAAATTGTTATGTGAATGCATTTTGTTTACCTTCCTGCTATTTCTTGGTATGTGCTTGTTATAATGAAATCTGCAGAATTCATTGCAATCATATCAGCTGTGAATTGGCATGAGAAATGATACTTGGGGTCTAGCTCCTTCCATTTTATGTCTGAATCTTCATATTTTGTCTTCTCTAGGGCATGTGCAATGGTACCCTTTTTCCAAAATTAAAAGTTGGTCAATAAACATAGGTATATAAAATATAATATTCATATTCAATGGATGAAACAAGATACCAGAGTTATCCCCAGTTTATTGGCCATGAGTGATGCCACCAAATTCCCATCACTGTAATTTCCAATAATCAAATCTGGTTTTACTTCCATTATCTCAATGATTTTATCAGCAGCATCCTATTGAAATGCGACAAACCGAGAAATCCAGTAAGCATAAATCTTTATGCAGAGGGGTGTTCAAGATGATAGATAATCCTAGTACCTGACTAAACCTCTCAAGATAAGGATAAATATCGAATCGAGAAATCCATTGATCAAGAACTCCATTTTCCGTCCTAAATGGCACTCTAAGGATGTGGGAGTACTTTGTATTGATGACTGGTTCAATTTCCTGGTTGCATTTTGTTCCTTTTGCATCTGGGATCAGCCTGGTTACCTATATACCCCAAAAAAAAAAAAGAGTAGAAAAAAGATTTACTAAGTTAATTAACTGAAAAAAAGTCTCTCCAATGCCATGCAACTCACCACAAGTATTTGAGGCTTGATATTAAGGCCTTGCTGCTTAATTCTATAAAGCAATTCCTCCTCAAATGCAACCACTTGATCCAAAACATAAACTACCTGTTTGAATCATAAGACGAAAACTAACTCAAACTGCAAGTCTGCAACGATATTCTTAGAGTTAAGGCCTTTTCGGTCTAAAGATATGAATTACCTGCCCACCGGTGTCTGGCAGGCCTAGTACATCTGCTTGCCCGAAGTATCCATGGACCGAGAACAGCACAATGTTAAATATTATTGGAAGCCTACCAAAGAATTTCTCCACATTCAACGGGTCAGGAGCCTGAAGTACTTCAGATAGTATTCTCATTGTATCCTGGACTCTTTCAGCAGTATTACCCCACCCCTTCTCAAACCCCAACTCTTTGAGCCTACAAAAGGGTAAATGTCACTTTTCTGAAACCCACCAAAAACAGCTAGAGGAAATGAGGATAAACTAAACTTTTACATTAGCTCAAAGCTTTGGTATGGTGCATCTTTGGGCTGTGAAGAGAGCGCCGCCTCAGCTACTATGAGTGCTGCCTGAAGCTTTGAGATGGTGCTGAGTGTCTCATTAATCATCAGTTTCTGCAATTCATGCAAGATCCTTTCAAAAACAGTTTGATTTTTTTTTTTTTTTTCTGTGTTATGTATAAGATAACATACGTCTCCGTGGTGATTCATGGAAAGCAAATAGTTCACAAGAGCCTGTGCAGTCTCTGATCTTCCAGCTAGCTTTGTACTGAGGAACTTTGCCACAGAATTGAATCCATTGCCAATGGAAGAAGACAAAGTCAAGTGAGGCATTGAGAGCTCTACAGCTCCAAAATCAATTTCCAGTGCATTTTCATCAGTTGCCCTGCAAACCATAAAATTCTTGAGCTATATATACTACTGGGGTCTGGGGCTAATCTAAACATGTGAATCTCAGTTATTTAGAATGCAAAACAAGAATCACATACCAATCCTCATCCACAATCATTTCTTTGAATTTCAAGTACTCTGTAGCTGTAATGCCCTCAACGGATAGATCATTTGCATTAACTTTAACATACTCCCAGAACCCCGGATTTTGCCTGGTGGCAAAGGCAATATGAGGAGGAACAACAGCTGCTTCCTGTAAAGTTCCACACACAAATCATGTTAACAAGTCGAGCAAATCGAGGCCTGTTTATAAGAGTTCTCGAGATTAGTTTCCCTTGTATTATTGTCTAGGACTTGCACAAGACATGAAAACAACATTGTAACAAGACACATGCAATGTATATACCATAGTAGTGCACAAAATGTAGCCAAGCAAGCCTTCCAACACTTGGTTCCTCTCAGCTTGATCATCTATCACTTTCTCCATCTCATCCATCAAGTGGTGAAGCTTCATCATCCTGCTCCCTTTCTCTGTGTACTTTGCAAAGCACCTTTTCATATGGTACCGGCTTTGCCTCAAGGCCTCTGGCATGCCATCTGCTATGGAGTCGGACCGTTTCAGAGCAGGACCGGTAGCCATTTTGAATGTTCTGAAAGCTTAAAGATTGGATATTTACACAACAAAAAAGATGACTTGTTTGGTTGTCTCAGCAATGAATGGGGGATTTTATAGTTCAAACATAAGGACAAAAATGAAGCATACATTATGGCAAAGAAATGGCAAAAGAAAGGAATATTTACCATTGGAAAGATTCTTAGATGGAAAACAAAGGTAATCTGTGTCTGTGGCATTAGATCGACTAGGTGGTGGGCATGGGCATCATTCTTTCCTTTTTCTGCTTCATGATTATTATGACCTGTGAGAATATGTTTCAGCTTAAACAAATGATGTTTTGCTGGGAAAGTCTACTATGAAAAATGGCAATCTTGATACCTTAAGAACAAGGCGAAGGATTTCTTGCACCATGGGCAAGAGTCTGTAGGTTAGCTTCATCATGTTTTGAGGACCAAACACTTCCCAAGATTTCAGCACCAAAAAGGGCTAAATTTGCAACAAGATTACCCGATTGCATCACTAAAATGTCTCAATTGCAGAAGAAAATGTAAAAGCAAGTGTTTGGAATGTTTTAAATTATTGATTCTATTGAAAATATTCATAGTTAATGGTCCGTTTGGAAAGCAGGAAAATGGCTTCTGGAAAATGAGTCATTTTCTGGAAAATATTTTCCTTTCCGGTGTTTGGTTGCATTCTGGAAAACTATTTTTGTGTGTTTGGTTCATTTTCTGAAAAATAAGTAGAATTGTATAATTAAATATTTTAATTATTTTATTTAGAATATTACAACATGTATAATAATATATAATAATATAATAATAATTTTAAATATAATAAAAAATAAGTAATAATATAAAAAATATTATGGTGGTGGTGGTGTAGTGGTAGTGGTGTTATTTGTTATATAATAATAATAATAATAATAATAATTGGTGGTGGTATGACGGTGGTGGCAATGGTGTGGTGGCGGTGGTTGTGGTGGTGGTGGCGGCGGCGACAGTGGTTGCGGTGGTATGGTGGTGGTGTGGTGGCGGTGGTATGGTGGTGGCTGCGGCGGCGGTGGTATGATGGTGGTGGCGGCGACGGTGGTTGCGGTGGTAGGGTGGTGGTGGCGGCGGCGGCGGTGGTAGTGGTGGCGGTGTGATGGTGGTGGTGGTAGCGGCAACGGTGGTATGGTGGTGGTGATGGCGGTGGTGGTGGTGGTAGTGGTGGTGGTGTGGTGGCGGTAGTATGGTGGTGGTGGTGGTGGCGGCGGTGGTGGTAGTGGTGGTGGTGTGATGGTGATGGTGATGGTGGTAACGGCAACGGTGATTACGGTGGTATGGTGGTGGTGGTGGTGGTGGCGGTGGTGTGGTGGTGGTGGTGGCGGCGGTGGTAGTGGTGGTGGTGTGATGGTGGTGGTGGTAGCGACAACGGTGGTTACGGTGGTATGGTGGTGGTGGTGGCGGCGACATTGGTTGCGGTGGTATGGTGTTTATGGTGTTGGTGGTGGTAGTGGTTGCGGTGGTGGTGTGGCGGCGGCGGCAGTAGTGGTGGTGATGGTGGTAGTGAGGTGGTGGTGGTATGATGTTGAAGATGTTGGTGGTGGTGTGATGTTGGTGTAAAAGTTGGAAAATGACTTCCCCCAAAAAAAGTGGAAGTCATTTTCCTCCAAAATAAGCCTATTTTCCAAAGTCAAAGGAAAATGATTTCCGTTGACTTGATTTTCCAGGCACATCCAATGGAAACTTGGAAAATGATTTCCAGAACTCATTTTCCAGGTTTCCAAACACACCCTTAAATGAACTGTAATATGGGTCCGTTTGGAAAGCAGGAAAATGACTTCTGGAAAATGAGTCATTTTCCAGAAGTTATTTTCCTTTCTTGTGTTTGGCTGCACAATGGAAAACTGTCTTTTGGTGTTTGGTTCATTTTCTAGAAAATGAACAGAATGGCATACTTAAACATTTTAATTATTATATACCGAAAAATATATTTTTGTTTTTGTTTGTAGAATATAACAATTTTTATTACAAATTCTATGCAACATAAATTTTGATTGTATTTAATTCTAATGTCATTGCTCTCTATCTTTCTAGTACTAAAACTATTGTCACAATATGACAATTTGAAATCACAATTACATGTTAGAAACAACATAAATGCATAAATAATCAAGTCTTGAAAATTAAAGTCCACAAAGTGTTAGGATCCAATATAACAAGTACTAAGATTCAACATAACCAACCAGCTACAAAACATACATAAAAATAAGTCTTAAAGATTACAATCCAAGTCTTAACATGCATGTTAACCAACAAAAAAGACATACATAATTTAATCCGTAGAAGAAATAAATTTCTCAATCCATTTCCTCTTCAAACTTGCATTCTTCGCATTGAAAATTCGCGCATGAACCTCATTTGTCATCAAGTATTCAAATACCTTACATAGGTCATCCTCATGAAAGCCATCACCTATGCTCATCACATCCGCAAACAACTGATTTTCATCAATACCGGTATTCAAAGATTTAATTGCCGTGGCAATGCTACCGAGCTGTTCAGCAATTTCATCCACCTTCAAGTCAAGTGACTTTCGCTTCCGACCGGATCTTTGAGACGACGCAGTTAATGCAGATGTTTTTCCTTACTTTCTTCATCAATGTTATCAGGCAGGGTTTCATCATTGTTACCAGGCAATATCTCATCATGAGGACCATCTAAATTAACATCTGCAAAAGACTTTGCAAACCGTCCTATGGCACAATCTCTGCCAACGATAATGGACATCTCATCATAGAAATTAATCTTCCTGTTCAACAATGTTTCATACTTGGGAGTTGCCTATGAATAAAAAAAAAAAAAAAAACATGAGTATTTACCATTGTTGCTAATATAAAGAATGAAAAATATAAGTCCTAGGTTTAGTGTAGTGTTTTGTCGTATTGACTTGATGTCATGACAGAAGGCGGTAGTGTGGGGATTCGAATGATAATGAAATGTGTGGATTAAATCCTTTGTGCACACATAAAGATTAAGTTTGACCAGTGGTTGATTGTGCGATTCATAATTTACCTATGCAATGGCTCTAAGGATGGATCTTGTGGGCTTATAATTAGTCGAGCTTCAATGTGGACGATATTGACTTTTTGTGCCTCAATAAATTTAGAAAGTAGTTATGAACAAATATTGCATTGCAACAGAGTCAATAGTACTAAAAAAAAATGTCATTATTTATTTGACTAACGCATTGTGCTTTCATTAATTTAAGGAAAAGTGGCTATTATTCATTTATTTTTCTTCATTCAATAAAATTAAGAAATTTTGCGAGAGTTTTACTAGGCTAGGAAAGACCAGCTAGATTCTTTGCCAAAATGTATTTGAACGCCATTACGGATTTACGGATCACCAAAAGCCTTGTGCACCTTGCATCGCAAATTATGGTGTGGAAACGTGTTCACATGCGCATGATGAATACAAGGGTAGATACATAATTTTTATACTGTAGATTCATAATTTTGTTTTTTCATTTGTTGTTAACGACGTTTTTCTCTTCGCAATCACATTATTTCGTCTTCGCAGTACAGATATTATGAATCTACAGTACAAAAATTATGAATTTACAGTATAAAAATTATGAATCTACAGTATAGATGTTATGAATCTACAATATAGAAATTATGAATCTACATCTTAGAAATTATGTTTCTATCCTGTGTTCACCATGCGCATGGTGAACACGGTTCCACAGCATAACTATTGCACCTTCCATGCTAAAGGTACAAAATTGTAAAAAAAAAAACAAAAAACAAAAAACAAAAAACAAAAAACAAAAAAAACAAAAAACAAAACAAAACAAAAAAAAAACAAAACAAAACAAAAAAAAACGTTATTCTTTTTAGAAGGAAAGACATAATCGCATTACTAATCAACCAAGTGGGAGATACAGGCCAGTGGAACAGATGGTCACGACCTTAGGACAGACAGAGAATTAGTTGTCTGTGCTAACACATGATTCGCTGACCTCTTGACATGATGAACAGATACGTTCCTAATGTCAGTAGCAATAATACAACATTGCTTAACTATATTCATTTTTGCTTCCAAACCTCTTATTCCTTCACCGTTGCTCTTTAATAAATTATGAGTCACTCTCAATCATAACTTATCGATCTATACCTCTCCTTATACAAGAGTTAATTTATATTTCTATTTCTATCAAGAGCAATTTGAGGTAACACAATTTAATTTTTCATATAAAATTATTTAGCATGTGTTTATTTAAAATTATTATAATAAATCTTTGTCAATTATTCTAACAATATTTTATCCCATTTGAATCCAAGCCGGGGAGCGTTACAACTCCAATCTCCCTTACCAATTGTTATGCCATGGACCCGAGTCCACTTTGCAAGGTGGGTTTGGGTAAAAAATAGCGTTGTCTGAATTTTTTTAGAAAGAAAAAAAAAATTGTTTCTTTCCTTGCCGTTTGTCTTCAGAATTCGTTCATCTATATTCGCAAATTTTAGAACTCTATATTCAGAATTTTAGAACTCAATATTCACAATTGCAGAACTCTATATATTCACAATTACAGAACTCTATATTCACAATTTTATAACTCTATGTTCACAATTAAATAACTCTATATTCACAATTAAAGAACTCTATATTCAACAGTATAATACAATTTTTGAATATATATTCACAATTTTTGAATTCTATATTCACAAACTAAAAAAAAAAAAAAAAAATCATTGACTGGAAAAACAGTATCACTAACAGCGTCGTTATTTCAAACATACGTTTTAGACCCGGGTCGACCTCGCCAGAATATAATTTGCCCTCCCTAACCTATCAAACTAATCAAGCATTCAAGCCCATATTCCAGCAATATTTGAACTTCTTGATGGATGGGCTTATAATTTACAATTTTCATAGGGCCTATGCCTTATGGGCTTATAGCTTACAATTTCATCTATGGCCTATGCCTCCTTCACATTAAAATACAATTTTAAAATAGGATTTCAAAAAAAAAAAAAAAAAAAAAAAAAACTCAGAAGGATAAAAAATGTTCAAAATATGATAGTCTAGATGTTTAGTAACAAAAAATAATTGTCTGTGGCTAAATTTAGAAATGTCACCAACGACAAGGGGTCTCCGTTGAAATAAACTCATTGAAAAAAAAAGGAAAAGTGTCAAATTGGCCCCCTAAGTCGACCGGATAGTGCAATTGGGTCCCCCAACTAAAAAAAGCTTCAGTCAGATCTCCCAAACCTGTAAAATTGTTCAATTAAGTTCAAAGTGACTTGTTTAACAAGTTAAGTCTTCACATTGTTGACACGTGTCATTTAAAAAAAATTGTTTTTTTTTTTGTAAAAAAATTATTTATTTATTTATTAAAATATATATTATATATAAAAAATAAAAAATAAAAATTATATATATATATATATATATATATATATATATATATATACACACATACACAAAGCTTTTTTTTTTTGAAAACGCACA